CCATTAATGCAATGTGTGTGTACTACATCAGCTACAAACTCCTGTTATAATCAAATCATGTGCAACTTATTGCTTGCAGTAAACGTGGGGCTTTAAAGACCCTGGAGTGTCTGAAGACGAGGGACAGTTGCCCACTTTAGCCAGTTTGTTATTCGAACCCTGCTTTAGAAGTTCACTGCACGAGCGCACACGCTTTTATCTTTGATTAACAAGTCATGTCATTCCTGCATGTGTTGGGGTACTAACTGGTTTCAATCCCAGTTAAAATCTCACCACCCAGTGTCAGAAGTGTCAGTCTGTAAGAAATTAACAGCTCTAATCCTCAGATGACCTGCTGCTGAAACATCAATGTGTGTGTGTGTGTTTTCTGTACCTGAGGTTGCGTCTCTCCCGCTGAGCTGGCAGGAGATGATGCATGATGAGTGTGATGATGTCATCTGAGCCACTCTGGAGCTCAGCCCAAGATAGCACAGCAAACCACAGTATCAATGACACTGTAAACAACACGAGGAAACAACAACAGGAAGGACGAGCACGTCACTTAGGCATGAGAGACAGTGGTGGAAAAGTGCCATACTTAAATACAGCTTTCAGCTATTTTACGTTACTTTTATGAGTACTTCTATTTTGTGCAACTTTCTAATTCTAGATTGTTTCAGAGGGAAATATTTTTATTTTCATCATTGTTTGTTTCTGGTTATTTACCTGATTAAGATTTCACAACAAAAAATAAGATGATTTTATAAAATCTGATGGACTGTTATAGATTAACCACCCAACAGTAAATAAAGTAAGTCATTCTTAAGTATTCGATATCCATATAATAATATAATATAATACTTAATTTTGCTGTTTTGCTGCAATACATCTGTACTTTTAAGTTTATAATGCAGGACTGTAACTTATGTTAAGTATGTGGATATTTCCTTCACCGACAATGGGATGTTTTCAGTCAATTTTAGGTTAAAACGTATTTAAAGATAAGCTCCAGACATGTTTTAAAACAAAATGTTAAACTCAGAGTTAAGGTGACCTCAGAAAACCTTTCCTTGTTCAGCAGATTCGAAAACACTCTTCTAGTGTCAAACTCTGCACAGACATTCTGTACAGTGAAGTAACAATAAGAAAAACACATTTTTAACAGAGGGGAACTTCAAAAACTTGCAATATGGCAGGCAAAATCCACACAACTTTCAGGAAATACTGTTAATTGTTGTGTTTTGTTGACATTGGCTTTATTTCCTCATTGTTTGGGATCTGAAAATGTGCAAAAGCATAATAATAATCAAAAAAATCCCCTTCAATAATTTTTTCTTTTCTTCTGATGTTGTTAAAACCCAATATGTAATTATTAACTGGTAAAACCTCTCTTTGCCATGAACTGGTGATGAAGATGATGAAATGTCCATAAAGTAGTCCAAAAAGGAAATCCTGCATGTTTTATGAATCATATGGACCCTGCATGAACAAACATATTCCTTTTGTTTGCCAGAATATCATTCAAAGCCAAAGACATGTATATCATCTTACATAGTAAAGTTATGTTTGAGGTCAATCAATCTCTTATAAACAAATGTATAAAAAGAAAACCTTCAGAAATTGTAAATTGGCTTATTTAGGATTTGGAAGAGGTAGTGCTGCATAAATAATACAGTCAACTCCAATCACAGATATCTCTCTCTCTCTCTCTGTGGCTCCAAACAGAAGTAATGTGTCATTTATCAGCAATTCTCATAAAAATAAAAGTATCAAGCTGATAAATCAGCTGCTTTTTGAGCTGTTAAACGAGAGTCTGGGGTCTCCAGTAGCCCGAACATCAGGGTTAATCCATTTAAAATTGAGGTTGCGAATTACATCATTTGAATATGTTAATCATGTTTTTTTTCCCTTTGCAATGACTGTACAATCACATCTTTTGTCTGTGAATTAACATGATCCAAATCCACCCATCACTTCCTATCACCTTCCCCAGATGAGGTGAGAGGAAGGCAGGCAGGGTGGGGAGGAGAATTAGAGGTGGGGGCTCACAGGGTCATAAGAGAGAGAGAGAGTGAGAGAGAGACCGGCTCCATGTTCAGCATCCGGACTTGCTGATTCGGGATCACGTGGCCGAGTGATTCAGCCAGACGATGTCAGAGCAAATCAGAGCGCTGGGGAGCATTCACCATGGAGCCACCTGACAGAGGAGGCTTGTTTCCATAGCAACACCCATGGGGGGAGGGGGAAGGGTGATACAGAGAGGGGGGTAAAACGACTGCATGCAGACAGAGGAAAGGAAGAGAGAGAGAGAGAGAAAGGGGAACAGAGACACTTCCAAAGGGGATTATGAGAGACCAAAATATGTTACCGAATGATTTATCCATAATAAAAATGAATGACACCTCGCAAACAGGCACCAAACTCCCTCAGCAACCATTCCTCTTTTACACAGACACACACTCCCACACACTCTTTGTATCCATGCAACAGTCCTCCGCAGTTTATGGTCTGAGCTACTTACTGACACAAAGGAGAAAAAAATCCTGAATGGTGTGTTTTGTTCAGTGAATGAGATTTTCAGAGCCACTGAGAAATGAATGAGGAGGATGCTTCTGAATGAGAGGAAAAGATCCTACCTGACAAACTAAAGTAGGATTCATGTGGCATGTTCAGCTAACTCCACAAACCAAACTCTGCTAATTTTTTAAAGGTATTTAAAGAAAATAATAGTTGTTATCATTTATTAATTCAACAGTTTAGTTAATTTTTCTGTACACTGTATTTTCCTACATTATAGTCTAAATGTTGTTTAAAGAAGTGTAAGCACCACGGGGGTCCAGACAGACATCTATGGATAATAAAAAAATGAAAACCCTTTGACCGCCATCTTATTTGTTTGTATGCAACCCTGGTTTAAAGTCATGTATGTAAATCTGGTGGAAAACACTAAAGCTGTTTATATTAACTTAATTTGCTTAGTTTCTGCCTAAAAAGGATAAAAATTTAATTTATTTAGTCTAAAAAACAAACAGAATCAACCTTAAAATGTAGAATATAAACTCCTTCTCATGTATTTAAAATGCTCAAAGTCCTAAAAATGATGACATGACATTATCACAAGTAATATGTGGATGTCACCTATGGGACATTTTATAGATAAAACAATAATCAATGCTTTGAAAAAGAAAATAACTACAGCCCTAAAAAGTTCCTTCTTCCATCCAGAGCCATCACTGGGGTCAGTGGTTTCACAGTTGATGCTCGAGGAACACGACGTTCACACAAAATGTCCCATTAAGAATGTTAAAAGGACATCGTAGGATATGTTGGAGGTTATAAAAAAAAACTGTCGGGGAAATGGACAAGGCGATGCAGGAAGAAGCAAGCAGACACAGACAGGAGGGACTCAGAAGAGTCAGCTAAATAATTCATATCCACAATAAAGCATTACTTTACTGCCCTCTGCTGAACCCACGATGGAAGTGAAAAAGCCAACGAAAGAAAGCTTAAATAATCTAATATTCTTTTTTTTTTTATGCTCCTACAGATCAGTTAGTTTCACTCGCTGCAGGATTACATTTGCTCTGAAAATAAACATGACAGTGCACAAATTAAACTGCTGACCCGTCAGTGCCTTATCATTAAAGGAAGGATCGGTCCACGTGAAATGAACCGTCCACTGCAGTAAAAAAACATAACCTCAGGCCATTAGGCTTACTTAAGACTTTTGTTATTCCACAGATGAAGCTTGTTAATATTTATGGAGCTGTCAGTGGGAGCTGGAGAAGCTGGGGATTTGGAGGAAAGAGAAATGGAGACCAGGGGAGTTAAAAAGTGTGTGTATCTAAGTTTTGGGTGTTAAAGGTGAATGGTGCTCTGGAGGGCAGAATGAGGCTGTAGTTGTGCTGAGTGTCTGATTAATAAGCAAAAAAGGGGCCTGAGATAGAGGGGAGATGTGAAGAAGGAGAAGGAAGTGTGTGTGTGTGTG